GATGGCAGATAAACATGTGAGAAGATACTCAGCATCATTAGCCATAGGGAAACGCAAATTCAAACTGTGATTGTGACCACTCCACATGCACTAGAATTGCTAAGACAGAAAATAATGACAACACCAAGTGCTGGCAGCTGGGACGCTCATGCACTGATGGGACTGCAAAATGGTACCCCTCTCTGAAAAGTCATTTGACAGTTTCTTAGGAAGTTGTAGGTACACTGACCGTGTGACCCAGTAGTCCTACTCCTGGGTATCCATCAGTGAAATGAAACCTTGCGTTTAGTCAAAAATCTGTACATGAATGTTCGTAACAGTTTTATGTGATGACCAAAACCTGGAAACAGCCCAGATGTACTTCAAAGGATGAATAGGTTAAGTGTGGTACGTTCACACAATGAAATAGCACTCAGCAGTAAAAGCAGTGATACACATAACTTGGATGAAACTCAAAGACATTACAGTGAGTGAGGCAAGCCAGGGTTGAAAGGTTTTATACTTTTTGATCCCTTTTTTTTGACATTCTTAAAAAGAGAAAACTATAGTCCTGGGATACAGACTGGTAGTTGCCAGAGGTTGTGCATGAAGGTGAAGGTTTGTAGATCAGTGAGTTGTACCAGGGAGCTTTTTGGTTGTAGGAACTGTAACGTCCCCTCTTTGTGGTGGCAGTTACACAAATGCATACATGTGTTGACATTTACAGAACTGTACACTAAAAAAGTCAGTCTTACCATATAATAAAAAGATGATTTTTTTTAAAGATTTTTATTTATTTATTTGACAGAGAGATCACAAGTAGGCAGAGAGGCAGGCAGAGAGAGAGGGAAGCAGGCTCCCTGCTGAACAGAGAGCCCGATGCGGGGCTTGATCCCAGGAGCCTGAGATCATGACCTGAGCTGAAGGCAGAGGCCCAACCCACTGAGCCACCCAGGCTCCCCAAAAGATGATTTTTTAAAATGTCAAACTTCATTCTGTTTTATGAATCTTTGTAGGTGAACTTGTTTTTGTTTTGTGTTTTATTGTTTTTCTCCCCTCTTACTTTGCTTTGGTATAGATAATTTTCATATACTGTTCTCTCTTCTTGGTAAGCCCTTTTAATTTGGAAACCCATATTCTTCAGTCCTGAGGGTCTTCTTGGTTTTTATTATTGTTGTATTTTCTCCATGTTTCTTCCTCACCCACCCCCCCCCCCTCCCCTGCCCCTTTTCTCTGTTCTCACTTGCTGATATTTTTCAGACATTGAAACTCTTAGCTTGTTGGTTCTCTAATTTTTTCATATTTTCTCTCCCATTTTCTGTCCTTCTTTATTTTTGTCTTTTTGTCCATTTCTGAAGACTTAGTTAATTTTAAGTTTTCAAACGGTTGTTTAATAACCAAGAGTTCATTTTTTGTTCTCTGATTGTTTCTTTTTCAAGTTATCCTATTCTCATTTCTTTGTTGTAATATCTTTTATTACTGGTAGTAATTTTCTTCTTCCTGAAAACTTGTCTATTTTCCTGTTATGTATTTCTTATTAGATGTTTTCCTTCACTATCTCATGGTCCTTTGCTTATGTTTAGGAGAAGGATGCAGGTGCTCACTGGGTGGGCGTGCATAGCGTGTTATAGGGCTTGTCAGCTTTGAGCTTCAGCCTCCAACAGTCTGGTTGGTCTGTATAGTTGGGGATCCTTCCAAGGCAGTATCATTGGTGCTTTCTTTTTAATCTGATAGAATTTCCAGAGAGATTTTTTTTTATCTCCTACATGGAGGGAAAGACCTGGTTCAGTGGAGAGAGAGGGCTGTGGGTCTCAGTATCTAGAATATTTATTTAACCTCCTTAGTTCCAGTCCAGTGTCTCGTCCTCAACTGTATCTCTGTACTGCTAATCAAGAGGCCCTGTGTTTTACCTTTTCAAGGACTAACTCTTCAGTATTCTACCCTAGTAGCAGGAAGAAGCTGGGGAACTAATTGCTTCTGAAACTAACTTTCAGCCAACACACTCTAGCCATCCTCCTCCCCTCTTCCACTTCCGCTTACGTAGGTATCTGGCGCTGCCAGCTTTACTCTTTCAGAGACTCTTCTCTGTAAAATCAGGTGGGTTCTTGTTTTGTCCCCAAGCTTAGCTTAGGTTTAGTTTTCTATACTTGAGCTGTATGAGGGAAAATGTTCTAGCTCGAGTGATGCAGGACCCTTGAACAAAGGAGTATTTGGGTCACTTTATGGACAGACCCCACCATGCAGCAGCGTAACAACTGGTAGAATGCCCACATTTATTTTGCTTGGATTTGCTGAGTCATTTACTTCAGTCATCAGTTTGCCTTCCTGCTTGCAAATTGTATTGGTATCACTCCTTCCCTTGTGTTTGTCTTGTTCTTGTGTGTTTGTGACTTTAAAAAAAAACAACAAACGGGTTTTTTTTTTTTTCCCTGTTGTTTTAGTGGAGTTCTAGTAGGGACTGAGTATGCCGTGTGTGTTCAGTTCTATCTTTCACCTGCAACTTCTGTCTATATTCTTTTGCTGATGATACACAGTCTCAGTGCTTTGAAGATCAGCCATAGCCTGGTGATCCTCAATTTCTGTCTCAAACTCTACTTCTCTTACCTCTGGTCTTTGGACAAACAATTATAACTGCTCACTCGCCATTTCCTCTTAATGTATCTAATACACACCTCAGACATTTCATTCCCAACCGTCTCTTTGAAATGCCTATTTCTCATCTGTTCTTGTTCTTGGTACCACTTACTGACCACCCACTTGTGTAGATCCCAAATCTCCTTCTTTCTTTCCTACATCAACTTCATCAGCAGGTCCTGTCCATTCTAAATTCAAAATATATCCAGAATTCATCCAGTTCTCTCCATCTTTGTGGCTGCTACCCTGATCAAAGTCATTTTCATTTCTCGCCTGGGTCCATGCAGTAACCCTGCAACTCCTCCCTGTCTGCACTCTTGCCCTGCTCTACAATCCACTGTCTACACAGTAGCCAGAGTGAACATTTTTTTTAAAGATTTTATTTATTTATTTGACAGAGAGATCATAAGCAGGCAGAGAGGCAGGCAGAGAGAGAGGAGGAAGCAGGCTCCCTGCTGAGCAGAGAGCCCGATGCGGGGCTCGATCCCAGGACTCTGAGATCATGACCTGAGCCGAAGGCAGCGGCTTAACCCACTGAGCCACCCAGGCGCCCCCAGAGTGAACATTTTTAATTAAAAAAAATTTTTATTGTGTTAGTCACCATAAAATACATCATTAGGTTTTGATGCAGTGTTCCAAGATTCATTGTTTATGTATAACACCCAGTGCTCCATGCAATCCATGCCCTCCTTAATACCCATCACTGGGCTCACCCAACCCTCCACCCCCTCCCCTCTAAAACCCTCAGTCTGTTTCTCAGAGTCTGTAGTCTCTCATGGTTTGTCTCCCCCTCCGATTTGTCCCAATTCACTTTTCCTTTACCTCTCCTAATGTCCTCCATTTTATTTCTTATGTTCCACAAGTGAAACCATATGATAATTGAATAGCAGCAATGGCCACAGTTGCCAAACTGTGGAAAGAGCCAACATGTCCTTCAACAGACGAATGGATAAAGAAGATGTGGCCCATATATACAATGGAATATTATGCCTCCATCAGAAAGGATGAATACCCAACTTTTGCATCAGCATGGATGGGACTGGAGGAGATTATGCTGAGTGAAACATTTTGAATTCTAAATTAAGCCACCTCCATTCCCTGATTCAAAACCCACAAAGCTATCCCCCTGTACTGTGAATGGTGTTCACATTCCTGACTGTTTCCATAAGGTCCTTGCCTAACTCTCAGACTTCAGCTCCTACCAGTGTCTTCCTGGCTCCTTCTCTGGTGACACAGGCCTTTCTGGTATCAAACACACCAAGCTTGTTCCCTCCCTTGGGGCTTTTGTAGTTGCCATTTTGTCTCCCTGAATATCCTTCCCCCATGTCTTCATATGGCTCACCCCTCCATTCATTCAAATCTCTGCTCAGATAGCATCACCTCTGAGAAGCCTTCCCTGACTAGCTGCTCCACCTGTCTTCCAGATTCCTCTGTTACCTCATCTTATTTATTTCCTTTTGAAAGTATCTTGTTCTTTGTTGTCTTTCTCTAGCCATTTGAGTATAAAGCCTATGAGGGCATTGGTCTGATCGATCTTGTTCTTTGCTGGTACCATCACACCTAGAGCAGAATCTGGCTCATAGCAGACAGTTAATCAAAGACTTTTGGACAGCTGGGTAGGAGGGGAGGGTGAATAAATGCCTTTTGAATTCTGTTTGGATGGTTAGCAGGCTGATTCTTCCTGGGCATCTCAGAATTGAGCCTTCCTAGAGTTCGTTCCCATCTTAACTGATTCTACTTCCGAATGTCTTTAACTGTCCCCCGTCTTCCTGCCAATAAGTTTCTTTTAGGGCCGAAAGCTTGAATTCCCAAAGAGCAGATGGCTGATCCTGTTTTTCTTTCTCCCTGCCTTTAGCCATGCAGTCACACCTTCAGCTGTATTTTGTGCAGGATCCAAGATGGTATTTTGGCGGAGGGATGGCCAGTGCATTTGCTCATCCCTCAGACCCGCCGGGGTGTGGTACTGGACTAGAAATGAGAGATCACAGCTAGAAATTGAGCCCTGCTGGCTCACCTGTCACTATTAGCATTCTGCTTTTGCTTTTCTGCTCTCTCCCAGTGTCTGTCTTTTGATTTTTAACATCGACTTCTGCCAGCCAGTGATCCTGTTAAAACCGCCAGTGAGATTGAGGCCGGGGTGGTGTCAGACAGTTTCATTTCCTCATCTTCAGAGAGGAGCTGCGAGATGACAAATTGTGAAGCCGCCTCTGTCTAGTCACCAGTTGTAAATACAATGACTTCTAGTCGGCTTGTCCTAGAGTCATGTAGTACTTTAGTGTTTGTGGGTCCACCTGCAAGTGTCTTTTTAATATCTGATGAATTAGGGATGAACCCAGGAATGACCCCTTTGCTTTTTTGTTTTCTTCTCTCTGTTTTGTACAAATCAGGAGGTCCATCAAGAACGGATTGCATTGGAAAATCAGTTGGAACAACTTCGTCCAGTCACTGTGTTGTAACCCCCAAGATTCAAGTAACAGTGGGTGACTTTTTCTGCCAAGATATTTCCTTTGAATATTTCAACCCAACTAATTGTCATAGAGATGTCCAAGACTGTGTGAAAAACTGCAAGCCGCAGAATATAATCCATATTTCCCTTTCTCTTGTACTTCACTTATACGTTTTACTCTGGTGGAAAAAATACAACTGATTATCACACTTGAAACTGTAATTTCAGTGGAATTTATCTTCCATTCTTAAGTACTTCCTCAAGTTGTTAGATGTTGCTCCTTACCAAAAACCAATCTTCTAGCAATTAAAAACAAGTAGAGCATTATTTATTTAAAGAATTTATGATTTGTATAAAATATCAATACCTAGTACCTTCAGGATGCTTGTTTTATTTTTGTATGTATATCAAATACAGTAGGTTGGTTTCCTGTATAATTGGGATTCCAACTGGATAGTCTTTGGCATGATGATAATAAAAGTGAAAACTAAAACAAGAACATCAGATTTAGACAGGCACTGTGCCCTCTGCCACCATATGCCAAAAATTGCTTCTCTAGTGCCATTTTGACATTGTATCTAGCTATAAATAATACATAACTATTGTTTTCTGTTGAATGACAGAGATTTATTGGGTCTTTGCACCTTTGTAAAATGGAAGTTTTGTCAAAGATCTATTTACCTTGGCCCAGCTAGGCCATCAACTCATAGAACTCAGTCCTTTCATGTCAATTTTTGGGCAAGAGCAGTCTGCTTTAACCGCCTCACCTGATCAAATTAAATAAATAGTTGTCAGATCTCTGCTTTTATCCTGCATGGGATACCATGTCTGTGAATGCATGATTTTGGAGACCACACATCAGATGTGAAAGGCTGAAGAGACTGTTTGGACTGAACCCAGGTACCCACCCTGGAGAAGAAGGGGAAATGGTGGTTACCAGCGATCCAACAACTCTGGTAGTTATTTTTGTCTTTGTTATTTTAACGCGGATTGTGATTGTATTGAGTATGAAGGAATAATGAAAGAAAACTGATCTTCACTCTGGATATACAACTGTTTGTTCTCTGTGAAGTGTACCTTGGGAAGTGATTGGTTTATGCACTAACTAGCAGAGCCCAGCTGTCTCCAGTGTATGTGATGTAAGACCGTGAGTTCCAATCACACAAGCCAGTATGCTGTAGAAGTTTTGGTCACCCGCTCCTCCTGAAAGCCCAAGGTGAAAGTGGGAAGTGAGTGACCCCACAGGGATCAGGGCATGCCCACTCTCACATCACTTTGAGAGACTGATTACAAGAAATGCTCTCTCTTGTGCATTTTGCTAATTTACCCATTCTTAGAGTGGAGGTGTGGGGTGTGCCTGGGGTCCTTTTTGAGGTGGTTTAGGATAAGGGATTAAGCCTTTGGTTGCCATAGAGTTGACAGCTTTTAGAATAAGGAGGTGTTTATTTAATGCTCCCTTATTTTATTTGCAAGCTTTATCAATGGCTTAATGGTAGAAGAGAAAGGCTCAAGCAGATGTTTTCCCAAAGAAAAACAAATTGTTGGTTCTCTTCTGTGCATATGAAAAGATTTTTGAATTGATTTGATTTTGAAAATCCCAGAGTTTGAACCATTTCTCTAGTCCCCCTTTCCTTCCCTTTTGGTTTTTTTTTCTATCCCTTGGGAGGGGTGTGGAGTCATTTTAAATGCTTCCTAAGATTATGAATGGGCGGTACAGAGTTTCGAGGTAAACTCTTTTCCCGTGTCCTGAGATCTAGGGGCTAAAGCTATTTTTATCAACAGTGTCCTTGCTGCAGACATTCCATAGCATGCTTAGCTTTTGTTACATTCCACTCGGGAAGGATCGTGTGCACTCTATCTCCTTGTCTTCCATAACTATGCGCTCCCTCGAGATAGCACTGTGTGTCCAGTAAGGAGGCATACGAACTCAGGAATGTTAGTCTTTAGTATACATTTAAAAAATAGTGCTATGTTTTTCCCCCCATCAAATCAGTGCCAGAGTGAGAGAAATTAGGAGGTGGGGTTTTGTTTAGCCAGCTTGGTTTTTGCTAAAGGAACAAACTCACATTGGACAATTCAAGTCCCACGAGTTGCATAGTCTCACCAATATTTTAAGATGAGCATTGCATTAAAGCATACATCAATGTCTATACCCTCTGACTACACTTAGCAGTGACCACAGTGTACTAGTTGCTTAGAAGTGGATCAAAAACAAACAAAGGTATACTATTATTATTACCTGACCAGTGTGCTTCTTCCATGTCTCTGTTTTCTCAGAATGTACACTTCTAATTTAGGATTATAACTCCTGTTAATGTTTCTGTGAGCCTTCACTGTGGTGTATAGGAAGGCTGTGTTATTGAAATCACCATTATACCTCTTCTACAAAACTTCTCCAAAATTAGATCTGCTTGTTGGGCAGAATTCAATGGACACAATGCCGATGTTGCCCCCATCCGTGGGGGTTTAATAAGCTTGTTGTTCAGTGGTCTTCCTTCAGAGGGGTCCTGTTGCCCCAAGGATGAAAGCACAGTAGGAATTGATAGTGGGCTGATGGGGTGCCTCAGTGTCTCTTGTAAGTGGTGTGTTGCTTTTGCCCTCTCCTTGTCCAGCAGACATGAAGTAAAACCGAGAGGTAGATATTTGGAATGGAGGTGCGTGTTGTAATCAAGGCAGACACTTGGACTTGCTTTAGTTGGAAAGATCTAACCGCTTCATGAATGTTGAAGAAGTGCTTTGGGCCTGATTGGGAAGGGAGACATCTTAGCTGGAAGCTAGGCCCATTTTACTCTCCTTGGAGAATAGGATGTCAGAGCTGAGAGGACTTGTACCTGTCTTCTGCAGTTTGCTTGTGGGGAAACCAAGGCCATCAGACACTACATTTTCTAGCCCAAGAATCTGTAGAAAGATAACTAGTGGCAGAGTTGGAATGCCAGCTAATGCTACAGATTCTAAGTCCCATCCTCTAGCCTCTAGCAGTACTAAAAATAGGCAAGAAGGGTTCCTTCTATTTACCATGTTGAATTTTATTTACTTAGTAAGTTTTCAAGTATGAAAACATGTTTCAGTGAGTTTTAGATCTGGATATTTCTGTTGGATTGAAGCAAAAATAAAATCTAAAGGGAAGAATATGGTTGAACTGTTTGATCTTCTGAACACCTCACCTTTCATGATACAATAAATTACTCCGAGTTTTTTGGCAGAACTTTTGACAACTGTTGCTTTGAATGGATTCCATTCCTGTATTCCTTATGGGAGTTTGTTTTTAAAATAGACTACTGCGATGGAAATGAACTCAATATGTAGTAAGTTACAGTTTTCTTCGATATGTCTTTAGTTATGTGGGTTGCAAATGTTCGATTTCAGCATATTTTAGGGGGAATAATAAAAAACATGCATTTTTCTTTGATTTCCTACCAGTGTCTGAACTGTCATAAAGCATTCTTCTCTTCCTATGTGACTTGATTCTGTAGTCTCTTTATAAATGATAATTTGTCTATTTCTTAAATGATCTCTCAACCGTGGTAATAATAGAGGTGTACTTGAAAGATCAATAAGGAAATCATCTGGAATGGATGTTTTTCTTGCAATTAAGACAGGCATTTGCAAATATATTCTTCTAAGCAGTAGTTGGAAAGATCTCAGTTACAGTATAACACCTTACAGCTAAAAAAAATTTGTTCAGCACAAACTACAATCACACCTCCTGACTAGACCTCACCAAAGGAATTTAATTTTGAAAGTATAAAAAAAGGATTCCAAACATCATAGCAACCAGATATTCCCGTATTATTGACTAAGACTTAGTAGTTCATGGTTTAAACATTTTGAACAAAATGTAATATCAGTTTGAAGAAGGAAGGTCTTTTTCTCCACTCGTTAAATAAATAGAACACCAGCGACTTCGGTTTCTCTTTCCAACTGGCTTATTCTGTTGCATTCTTTGAAAACTCTGATTTCGAAGGATCTCTTGAATTTACACTTTAGTGATGGGTGTTTTGTTATGTTCTTTTTTTGCATCCATGACTTAGTGTGGTTCAAATTACTAGAAGAAGTGGGGATTTGGGTTTCTGGAGTTCTGAGGTGGCACCTCCTCTTTGAGCACGGGCCGAAGGCTACTGCCCACCAATGCCAACAGCTCGGTGACTGATGGCAACTGGCATGTGAGTCTTAACTCTGCGAGCCACCCACTTTGCTTGTTTGCAATGAGAAGTGCATCTGATTTTGTGACCCTCCCAAGAGGAACTGTAAGACCAGGCATGGAGGACCAGACTTGAAAAGCAGCACAGAGCCTAAGAGCTGCTGTCTCCCTCAGCAACAGGCATTCAGAGGTTGCCTTACAGGTGTTCCCTGAAACAGCCAGTCTGTTGATGTGAACGAGAGATGCCAAGTACACAATTGCTTTTAGGCTTAGATAGTTAATTGTCTACATTTGCTAACCTACATGATGATAAAGTCAGGGTTTCAACTGAGAGGACTCATCCTAGTTACAGAAGCCTTGCTCCATTCTTAACAATGGGAAAACCTTTATTTTTTTGTGTGTTCGGTGAGTTCTCCTGTCTTGCTCTAAGCTAAGTTCATGGCTGTGGGAAGTTGGAGAAAATGGGTTTGAGACTCTGCAGACCAGAGGACAAGGGACTTTCAAGGGGGCTTGTATTGGAATTTGAGGGCTATACTAGGGAAAATCAGGGACCAGTTCCATCCTACTTAAGTACTCTGTTGGACAACAGGACTGGGTCCTAAATGTCCTTCACAAAGCTCTGCCTCAGAACGGCGCAGTTGATGCAAGTACCCCATCATACGGCAATTGAATCGGCTGGGATTCGTTGTTTTTGTTTCATCTTAAGGCAACTTGTATGAGGACTTCACCTGTACCTATCTTGGGAACCGGGTGTACTTTTTCTTTAGCACTGCCATTGTTTTTGTCTTCAGCGCAAATACGATGTTCAAGAAAGCCAGAGGCAAGAAGGGCCATTATAGTCTTTATTGCAGTGGGCCAGGAGAGAGAATGAGCTGATGGTCTAGTTTAACCTTGAGAATAAAAGTGTATATTTTTTCACTACAGGTACATTGAACAGTAAAATGAATAACAGCAAAGTATATATTTGATGCCTTCTGTCTTTTCATAATGTGCTGACAAGTTGTGTTAATAGTTCGCTTAGCCAGAGTCTTACTCGTTTGCTAGGCCTTAGGAACATTATGTATATTGATCTTCAGCATAAATAAATATAGGGTAACCTGTATTTGGATTGTAGCTTGTAGACTCTAACCGTACTGCCTCTTTTTCACATTTGTTGGAAAGTCTGTGAAGAACATAGGTTAAAAGTCTCCTACTTTGGGAAACGTACATGATGTGAAACTGGGGTGCTATGTTAAAAATAAATGTATGATAATAAGTGTGGCTCGTCTGGAGTCTTGGTGTTGATATGCTGCGGCCTGCATTTGGTTTTGTGTATTTCGTGGAGGTGCCGTGGAAAAGAGTTGGAGGTCTTCCCAATTAAATCAAAGTCTGAGGTTTGATTATTTTTACCTCCTAGTGATCTGAGGTGGGCCTTTAAACATCTGTACATGGTAAACACTGGGCGATCAT